ATTAACAAAAATAAATTGTAACAAAAAAAAAAAAAAAAAACTATTATTTCTCAAAAACTATGATAATTCGACATATAAGCGTCTGTTTGATGACGCTTAGCTTAACCTTAAAGGACGCAAAACCGACGCGACGAAAGAGAAAGGGACAAACATATACGTTTCGAGGTCTCAAGCCGTGCGCGTATACCTGCTCGAGTCCTTTGGTTTTGAGACGTCCCGTTGCATATTCATAGGATATTCATAGGATATCGCGATATTAGGAGATTGTGAGGACAAGTGGGATATTCCCTGGCATGTCTTGTGCTGTCTGGGATACAACATTACAGCCCACCCATAAAATATTTGGCAAATTTCTTTGTACTTCGAGCGCTTCGAGAAAGAAGTCGCTTAGGGTCAATTCTGGTGAGTAAGGCGGATGATCAAGCAGTTTAATCATTTTTTTTTTAATTTTTTCCAGTGCTGTTTCCTGTTTGAAACAGAATTTTCATTTCATGCAAATGTGGCCGGTTTCCGTAATATGCGCGTAAAAACATATGTTGCCCAAATTATATCAAAGATGCTTACTTTCCAAACATGACTGATGCTAAGAAGATCAGAAATTTGTACAATGATGAGCTTACCTATCATTTACGATAGGTCTTTAAGAAGAGAATTAAAAAAAAAAACTATCGACACCCACGATTACTCAACCTCGACTGGAATGAATTACTTACAATTTTTACCGAGTTTTTTATAGACGTCACTTCGGTACTAACTGCGCTCATTTCAAATTCCGATATTAGCTATCTTTAAACTAATGGTGCATGGCATAGTGCCTTAAGGCAAATTGCTGGAACTTCCCGTACCGTAACGAAATGTTCGAAGAATATTAAATGGTTTTAAATAGATTATTAAAAATACTGTAACATTGTGAAAGAGTTATAAGAATTGTCTAAACTGAATTGCAAAGTTGAAATTATTTGTTTAAAGTATATTAGAACTTTAGTCATAAATAAAATTAAAATCTGAATTATTAAAACAAGCAGAAAGTTTTTCAAATCATTCAAATCGGACGCTTAGTTTTCTCAAAAACTGCCCTTTTTTGCACATTTAGCACAGTATCTTCGAAATGGTTGGACGCGCCTTTGCCAAAAACTAATCATTACTTCTCCCCATCAGTACGAACTTACGTTTTTAGATCATTCAAATCAGATGCTCCGTTCTCTCAAAATCTCGATTTCTATTTTCGGCAAACTTTGCGCAAAATCTCTGAAACGGCTACACCTGTCTTTGCCGAAAACTAATCAGCACATCTCCCTATCAATAGGAATCGAATTCTTTTTAAACCATTCAAATCGGTTGATCCGTGCGCCCGAAAACGTGGACAAAAATTTGTATCCATACATACATACACACAATGTCAAAATGTTCAGAAACCTTCAGAGCATAGTGAAATGTAAAAATTTTCAATTTTGATTTTTGGACGATTACAATAACTGACTCTTCTTCTAACTGAGTTTTTGGCAAAGGCAGGTCCAGCCATTTCAAAGATACATAGCTAATGTACAAAAAATGGCAGTTTTTGATAGAACTAATCATTCGATTAAAAAAAAATCTACTTGTGTTGACAAAACAAATGTTTTTGTGAATTTTTTTTTTTAAATTTCAAAATATTTTTTTTGTATATCGAAAATAATTCCGATTTTAATTTTAACTGTGGCTAAAGTTTTGAAGCTCTCTTACATTAAATACATAATTTCAACTTTGCTAGACAATGTAACATTATTTATAATAATCTTTTTATTATATTTAATTTTTTAATTACTATTTATATTCCTCGAACATTTCGTTACGATACGGGAAGTTCCAGCAATTTGACTTAAGGCACGATGCCATACACACCACTAGTTAGATTCATTATTGGTCTCTACCTTGAAAAGGATTTGAGAGTCCAAAAATTCAAATTTTCTAAATTCAAGAGTTAACGCACATATATTTGAGTGTCAAATATATTACAGTAAGGAAGTACTATGCGGCGCGAGTTAAAGAACATTTAACATTAATTTAGTTGAAAACGAAGTTGGTCTTATGCAGTCTTATCAGAAAAACCATTAGCTCATGCTTGAGTCTGAATCGCTTGATTGGTACAGGGGGTACAGGTATATAATTTCGAAAAATCTTGCTGTGATCAGTCGAGCCGTTTCTTTGTAAATAAGTAAAACTAATTAAAAATCGGAATATTCTGGGTTAAGCAGGCTTGTGAATCTTATAAGCTTTAACTATATTATAATATAGTTAATTAATTGCTATATATATATATATATATATATATAGCAATTAATTCGTAGAATTAAAAAAATAATTTTGATAACTTTTTACTTATACGTTTTGAAACTTGATATGTGTCATTATTCAGAAAATCATACTAGGAAGTACAAATCGAAATCACAAAACTAAAAAAAGTTCTATAAAATTTTAGTTAATATTAAACACAAAAACATAACTACAAACATAAAATTATAAAATTTATAACATCCGTAACTTTTTAGTAATTATATGAAAATTAATCAAAGGTATGAAAAATTTATGTTTGTTTTTTACAGTTCCTGAAGAACCACCTTCCATATTCCCAGAATTTAGCAAATATTTAAAACATGAAAAAATAAAATAAATTATTTGAAAAACTCAAGACAAATTGCTAAAACTTCCCATGCCAAAAATCATTTTTTTTAAAACTCTGACAAAAATAGATTTGAGAATTTGAGAAATAGATTTTATATTTGCAGGAAATTTAATTAAATTATTATGTAACATAAAAGACCCCTACACGCTTTTTTACTCAACTTAGATACGAAGCAAAAATGCAATCGCGTCGTATTAGTGTGCGATGTACAGCCGTTACGTTCTTGCCCGGGAAATAGATAATTCTGTGTGCCTTCCAGGTTACGTACCTGCTACGCTACGTAACATTCATGGGTTTATTACGTTTTGTGGTTTACTGGGCGTTATACCAAGTAAATCGTCTAATTTTAACTTTAACAAACGTCAAGAAAAACTACTCATTTTCTCAAACTTTAATGAATTTTAAGACCATGATATATATTGCCAAAAAAAGTTCCATACAAGAAAACGGCTTGGTAGATTTTCACCTAAAACTAATCAGTATCATTCCCAACTAATATCTTTCGAACAATTTTTGATTTTTTGAAATCGATTTAGTATGAGCTTAAATGTGGACTAAAAGTTTAACACATTTTCCAAATTATAAAAAAACGGCTCGGTAGATCGTCGCACAAAACTGACAAACGATAGTCCTGCATTATTGCAATCTCATGAAGATACATCAAATGGAGTTTAAGTTTCTGAAATCGGTTTAGGCGTTTTTGAGCAAACGTCGATTTACGGCAAAAAAATCTGATCACACACAAAACATACACATACTTTTTCGAAATTTGGTCTCATTCGATTCAGAATGGCTTGAAACGTCGAGAAAACTTAAAATTCTTCTCCTTCTGGAAGCTAAAAATAGCGCACTTTATAACTTTTCTATTACAACATTTGGTTCTTTTATCTATGATTTTATTGGCCATGCTTGGTCATCTTTGTTATGCTTGTTAACTTCCCGTAGGGTAAGTTATTGTAATGGGCCGAAAATCGGAATTGAAAATTTTCACATTTCTCGACGTTTTGAAGGTTTCTGAACATTTTGGCATACCTCAGAAAAAATGGATGTGTGTGTGTGTGTGTGTATGTATGGATACAAATTTCCAGTCACGTTTTCGGGCGCACGGATCAACCGATTTGAATGGTTCGAAAAACATTCGATTCCTATCGATAGGGAAAAGAGTTGATTAGTTTTTGGCAAAGGCAGGTCCAGCCGTTTCGGGAATACGGAGCAAAGAGTGCAGAAAATAGAAATCGACTTTTTGAGAGAACGGAGTATCCGATTTGAATGATCTAAAAAAACATTCAATTAGTAATGATTGGGAAAAGTGTTTATTAGTTTTTGGCAAAGGCAGGCCCAGCCATTTCAAAGATACAAAGCTAAATATGTAAAAAATGGCAGTTTTTGAGAGAACTAAGCGTCCGATTTGAATGATTCCAAGAACTTTCTGCTTGTCTTAACAAAATAATTGATTTTGGAATAAAAAATTTTTGTTTCAATTTTTTTTTTAATTTTTTTTGTATATCGAAAATAATTCAGATTTTATTTTTAATTCTGACTATAGTTCTAATATACTTTAAACAAATAATTTCAACTTTGCAATTCAGTTTATATAATTCTTATAAATATTAGACAATGTTACAATATTTATAATAATCTATTTGAAAACATTCAGTATTCCTCGAACATTTCGTTACGGTACGGAAAGTTCCAGCAATTTGCCTTAAGGCACGATGCCACCCATAGATAAGTAAACATACCACCCCACTAGTTTATCTATGGACTTGACTATCAGCATGCTAGCCAGCAAACCAAAAAAGCAACGAAACAAGCCTCGTGTGATTTGGACTTTGAATGTGCGCTATTTTTGTGAATGGATTCATTCATTTGAATCAATAGGGAAGCAATATTTTGTCATGTGGTTTGTTATATTTGAAAATCTAGCTAAAACAAATCTCGCCCAGAGCAAGCAAGCCTCTTCTTTTATCTATGAAGCAAGCTTTCTCGCATCGTGCCATTTTAACAGCTAGAAACTACTATCTTGTTTATCTATGGCTAGAAAAAACTATCATCAAATATAACGCGACAAAATCAAACTAAGGACAAGTAATAATCATTCTAGAATTAATAATAAAATTGTTAACAGTTGAAACATAGAGAACCATATTGAATTTGAAAAACGCGCCACTTATCAAAAATCCAAGATTCGATTTGCAAATGTCTCATCTATCTAAAAGCATACCCTTTGCTTGATATGTCAAATATGAAATGTTAATTTAGTTAAAATTGTTGATTAAACTAAATTATTATTTAGCCCACGATTGTTTTTGTAAATCTTTTCTGAGTTGAGTAAAGGCAGTGAAAATATATTAAAAATGTCGGAAGAAACAATTATGTCTATGAATGTTCAGGCAATTAAAATCGAACCACCAGAATATTCACCAGAAGACATTAAACTCGAACATGATAATGAATTTGATGATCTTGATGCTATTGTTAAATTTGAATCGCTTTCTGAAGAGGATGATACATGTTTAGAAAGATTCATGAATTCAGATGTGACAATTAAAGAAGAAGTCAAACAGGAGTCAATCGAGGTACCCACTTATGAATTTGACATTTGTAATGAAGCATTTGTAGAATCACATCATTTAAAAGAACATATGGTCGATCACGTGCCTAGTCATAGCAAAGAACTCTCTTTCAATTGCAATATCTGTCATAAAACTTTTAAACTATCAAGAGGGTTGAAATCACATATGATTACCCATTCTGTAGTACATTCCTTTGAATGCAATGTTTGCAAGAAAACATTCACACAATTAGATAATCTGAAAAGTCATATGATCATTCACAGAAATGAACGCCCCTATCAGTGCAGTATATGTAATAAGACATTCACACAATCAGGAAATCTGAAACGTCACATGCTGATACACAGTGGTGAGCGTCCCCATGTATGCAGTATATGCAATAAGACATTCGTACAGTCAGAACATCTGAAATATCATATGATGATACACAACAGGGTACGTCCCCACGAATGCAATATATGCAAAAAGACATTTACACTATTAGGTAGTCTGAAAAGTCACATGGGGATGCACAATAAGGTACGCCCTACTGCATGCAGTATTTGTAATAAAAGATTCAAACATTCAAGTAGTCTAAAATATCACATGGTCATTCATAGTGGTGTGCGTCCCCATAAATGCAGTATATGCGATAAGACATTTGCAATTTTAAGTAATCTGAAAAATCACATGCTCACTCACAGTGGTGTCCGTCCCCATGAATGCAATATATGCAATAAAGCATTCAGACAGCGAGGTAGCTTGAAAACACACATGATGATTCACAATAGAGAGCATTCTTAAAAATGTGAAATATGCAATAATGAATTTACTCAATCGAACGATTTAAAGGAACACATGGCACTTCATAATCAAAAGTATGATGAAAATCAATGAAAAATAAGTGTTGATGTTGAAATGATTATAAATTTTTGAATACATGTTATAAAATATATTCTCTCATGTAAAAGAATGTATAAATACTATGAAATATACAGCAAACATGACATAATATGCATTTATTGATAATCAAAGCAATAGTTACATATTGTTTTATATTTTTTTGTTATATTATTTTTTATATTATGATTTGTACAACTAACTGAGATTTAATAAAGTAGATTAGCAACCACTGATTTTGAAATTGATCTCAGGTTGATATCAAGCAGTATTGACATCAGATATTTAAGATAATAGATTTCAAGTATATATTTTCAATATATATATTGAGAACAAAAAATTCTCAATATATATATATATATATATATATATATATATATCTACATATATATAAAAATAAATCGGGTTTTCCTTCCTGACGATTTAACTTCAGAACGCACGAACCGATTTCGACAATTTTGCATTCGTTGGAAAGGTCTCGGGATCCGCAAGGTTTATAGCTAAGAAAATTAGTGGTGCATGGCATCGTGCCTCAATGCAAATTGCTGGAACTTCACGCACCGTAATCAAAAATTCGAGTAATTGTTTTAAATAATTTCAAATAGATTATCTACATAGATGATTCAAATAGATGATCTAAAAATTTGAGTAATGACATTAGTGAGAATTATCAGAATTATGCTTGCCGCAAAGAATAATGATGTACATGCACTGAATTTCACCATTCAATCAAAAATCGCTGGCGATTTGGTGTCATATCAATGATTCTCACTGGTCTTCCGTTTGACTTCAAACGATTGCAATTTCCAGTTTGCCTTGCGTTCGCAATAATAAGTCGCAAGGCCAATCGCTTAGTGTTTGCGGGATAAATTTCGAATAGATTATTTAGAAAATCATTGTTTTTCACATGGACAGTTATACGTTGCCTGTTCACGAGTTGGAAAACCATCCGCTTTGTTTGTGTTAACGTCAGACCAAAAAACAAAAATTGTGGTTTACTAAAGAGCACTTCAATGAAACGGATAATTTGCGGATTCACTTTCATTTACTTAGAGAAGTTCAACTAAAAAACACTTCATTTTTGTAACCGAAATAAATTCATTACTGTTGTGTAATAAAATCAAATTTTTCCTTTTCAAATATAAAACAAACAAAAAATTTCTTCATCTTTCTCACGAAACCATCTGGTGGCGAAACGGAGTTCGTCGAGCTTGCTAGTATATATATATATATATATATATATATAACTGTGAAGCTTCGAACAAAGAATCAAAAAAGTAATAAAAAACAAAAAAGTTATTTAAAAAAACCATTTACTTATTTACTGTCGACGTTTTGGAACTAGGTACGTTCCATTTTCAGGACATCTGTCAACAAACATGATCTTGATGAGATTTATGCAATAAAATATGTTAAAGAAAAACAAAGTTTCTTTAAATAATGTCATTTTTGGGTTTGTTATGTGAGTCAAAATGTATTGTTTCCTCGAAGCAGAAGATGATGGATTTTTTATATAAAATGAATAAAATTGTGAAAAAAGTAATGTACGAAAATATGACAATATAATCAAAGTGAAAATGATAAAAATAAATGAGTGGATTATATAACAAAATATTAAAAATGGTAAATTAGAAAGTTTTAAGAAAAGGTTCCTAAAAAAAAGGAATTAATTACCTGTATGATTGATCATACTACTATTGATTTTATCAAAAACGTGTATTTATAAATTTCTTTTCAAACGAAGAAACAAATTTTGTAATTCAAAATTTCTTTGAATAATGTCTTTTTTAATTTTTTATGTGACTAAAAATGTTTCCTCGGTATTTAGAGACAATATTATTCCAATTAGTTATTTCCTCGATGTTTGGAGGCAATAGTTCTTTTACCAATAGTCGTCTCATACAGGCAATTATAATTATGTTTTTTCAGTAACCTTTTCATAAAACTTTCTAAAACCTGCTAATTATTTAACATTTTTAATATCTTCTATATATATAAAAATAAGTCCGGTTTTCCTTCCTGACGAAATAACTCCAGAACGCACGAACCGATTTCAACAATTTTGCATTCGTTGGAAAGGTCTCGGGCTCCGCAAGGTTTATAGCTAAGAAAATTAGTTGTGCATGGCATCGTGCCTTAATGCAAGCTGCTGGAACTTCACGCACCGTAATTAAAAATTCGTGTAATAAAAATAATCAATAACTGTTTTAAATAACTTTAAATAGATTATTTTCTATATATATAAAAATAAGTCGGGTTTTCCTTCCTGACGAAATAACTCCAGAACGCACGAACCGATTTCGACAATTTTGCATTCGTTGCAAAGGTCTCGGGCTCCGCAAGGTTTATAGCTAAGAAAATTAGTTGTGCATGGCATCGTGTCTTAATGCAAGCTACTGGAACTTCACGCACCGTAATTAAAAACTCGAGTAATAAAAATAATCAATAACTGTTTTAAATAATTTCAAATAGATTATCTTCTATATACATAAAAATAAGTCGGGTTTTCCTTCCTGACGAAATAACTCCAGAACGCACAAACCGATTTCGACAATTTTGCATTCGTTGGAAAGGTCTCGCAAAGCTCAGCAAGGTTTATAGCTAAGAAAATTAGTGGTGCATGACATCGTGTCCTAATGCAAATTGCTGGAACTTCATGCACCGTAATTAAAAATTCGAGTAATAAAAATAATCAACAATTGTTTTAAATAATTTCAAATAGATTATCTACATATATCTACATATATATATATATATATATATATATATATAAAAATAAGTTGGGTTTTCCTTCCTGGCGATATAAATCCAGAACGCAAGAACCGATTTCGACAATTTTGCATTCGTTGGAAAAGTCTCGAGCTCCGCAAGGTTTATAGCTAAGAAAATAAGTGTGCATGGCATCGTGCCTTAATGCGAGATTGCAATTTCCAGTTCGCCTTACGTTCGCAATGACAACTAACAAGCCGCAAGGCCAATCGCTTAGTGTTTGCGGGATAAATTTCAAACAGATTATTTAGAAAATCATTATCTATCACATGGGCAGTTATACGTTGCCTGTTCACGAGTTGGAAAACCATTCGCTTTGTTTGTGTTAACGTCAGGCCAAAAAACAAAAATGTGGTTTACCAAAGACCACTTCCATGAAACGGATAATTTGCCGATTTACTTTTATTCACTTAGAGAAGTTCAACTAAAAAACACTTCATTTTTGTAATCGAAATAAATTTATTACTGTTGTATAATAAAATCACATTTTTCCTTTTCAAATATAAAACAAACAAAAAATTTCTTCATCTTTCTCACGAAACCATCTGGTGGCGAAACGGAGTTCGTCGGGTTTGCTAGTTTTGTTATATAATCCACTTATTTATTTTATTATTTTTATTTTGATTATATTGTCATATTTTTGTACATCATTTTTTCCACAATTTTATTCATTTTCAAAAATACATAATATAAGATGCAAATAATATAACATGCGTCTGACAGTCTGCGCATGCGTCTGACGCGCACGGCGAATCGTGTTCTCAACGCACTTTGCGAATAGATTCGCCGTACGAATTTGTGCAAAGTGATTGCGCTCAAAAATATTCAATTTGCGGTCGTTTTGCCTTACTATACTAAGTCACAATACAAAAAAAAATACTTATTCAAAAAATTATTTAGAAGTTTCATTGTGTCAAAAATTCATATGGTTGGCATTTTGTACGGAATGTTTACTCAATGGAGCGCTTTGGGTCTGAACTTTTTTCAAGACAATTAAAAGACGCATACAATGTTTTTTTTATCATTTAAATCAAATAGTTTATGAGTGTCATTTCCACCAAAATTAAAAATAATCGTTTTCCATCTAGAATTAACTTGGTTTGAGAGATCTTGATGGATTCTAGAAAATACTATAACATTAGTACAAACGATTTTCAAAAAACTCATGATTTCATAAAAAAATCCATTAAAAAAAAAACAATTTCTCATTATAATATCTCTGAAAAAATACGTATAAAAGTATATATATATGAAAATTCAAGGTATTTTTCAGACTAATTATTGCTTTTCATTATTTTTTGTTACACAAATATTGATAGAGTTCTAATTGTTTAAAGAGTGCGCGGCTGTCCAACCGGAGTGTCTTTCGAGCCCTTTAACCCTTCGCCGTTTCAAAATAAGAGAAGTTACGGTAAAATTTATGATAAAGAAAGTTGTAGCTCATTTAATCACCTTTAAAATAGTATATTACAAGTTATGATAAAATCAGAATTAAAGGAGTTATAATCCAATTAATGCGGGGGGTGGTGACGAAATGCAAATTGTTTTCGCTTCTGAACTTTAGATTAAGATTAGCTGGGCATACGCTTTTTTCCTCTCCATTGACTGCAATAAATTTGTTGATAGTAGGTTGAATAGAGCACATGTGAACAAAATTTGACAA